GCGCCGCGCCGCGCGCCGGCGCCGCTCGCGGTCGGCGGCGGCGCCGGCGGCACCAACGCCGCCGGCTTGCCGCGCGCCGGCGCCGGCGCCGAGGATGCCGCTGATTCCGAGGTTTGGCGCCGAGAAATTTGCTAGGCTGTTGCCAGAGAGGGTCACGTTTGCCAGGCCCGTAAGACTGCCCGAAAACGTGGCCCCGATGACAGATGACGTCATCGCGGTGTCACCGGTGACGACACTGCCCGTCGTCGTCACCGCGCCGGCCGCCGCGTCCGCGGCCGCCGTCGCGGGCGCGGGCGCCGCGACGGCCCACGCGCGGACGGGGCGGCCGCAGGGGGTCTCGGCGGTGAGGGCCGCGCGGGGGCAGAGGCGGACGGCGACGGCGCCCAGGTGCATGATGCGGATCAGGTCCTGGGGCAAATAAGGGGTTGTGGAGGGGCGGTTGAGTCGCGGTTGGGCGGCGGTTGAGCGGGCGGTTGCGCGGGAATGTCGATCTGAGCGGTTGAGTGAGGAGCGGCTTTGGCACGGACCAGGGGTGGGCGTCGCGACAGCTTGGTGGCAGCAGGGTGGGAGGGTCGCTGGCAGCTTGAGGTGAGGCGGGTTTTGGGGTCGTCTGACTTTCTTCAAGATTATTGGGTGCGGCAACTATCTTGTCTCACACGGATCTGAGAAAAACGTGATCTAGATACAGATGGAAATCTTAAGAGATGTGGCTGCCCGCGAATGGCCCTCATGCGTCCCCCTCGTGGCCTCTAAACAGAGCCGCAGGCGGGCCGCATCGCGCCAAGACAAATTGGCAAGCGGCGCCTCCCAAAACAGACCCAAAACAGACCCTCTCGCCCGGAGGTCTGTGACCAGCTCTGCTGGCAGCAGCTCCCTGCCCCCCAAACCCCAGCAATCAGGAGATGCGGCGGCCCCTGCAGACGGCCCCCGTGCATCCGGCCAATGCAACAAACACAAAGCCGCGGGCGGCCCGCGGCACGCTGCAAACGGCGCCCCCAAAAGCAAGCCGCCCCCATCCCAAAAAAAGGACCCACCCGCAGGTCAGTGACCGCCTCTGCCGGCAGCAGCTCCCCCCCCTCGATCGTGTCCATGCTCCCGCTGCTGTCCACCCGCACCAGCCGGGACCGCGCCGCCGACGCCGACGCCGTCTGAACGCCCGACGTGCCCGTGCCGCCGAACGTATCATAATAGGAAGCGGACGCCTGGGACCCCGGTGACGACGGCGCCGGCGACGTATTGCCGCCAGAGGCAGACGCCGCGCCGCCGCTGTGCAACGCCGACGACAGAAGCGTCATGCCGGGCGCGGCCGACATGGCCACGACGTGCTGCTCTGGCAGGACGGCCCCTAGCGCCTGCAGCAGCGCCGCCTCGTTGGCCTCGCGCGCCGACAGCTGCAG